GAGAGAGAGAGAGAGAGAGAGAGAGAGAGAGAGAGAGAGAGAGAGAGAGAGAGAGAGAGAGAGAGAGAGAGAGAGAGAGAGAGAGAGAGGGTGGTCCGGTTGCTGCTACAGATCTCCACGACATCTCTTTTAGCCTGTTTGGTCAGCATTGAAGTGACCATGCAAGCGCTGTGGGAGTATGGATCACGGAGCAGCTGACCTTCTCCCTAATCTGTAGCCTAAACTGGTTGAGTGTTCTAACAGGTTGAACCTTTGGCTCAGTTTGTTTTCCCTGACGTTGATGTTCCAGGTCCACTATGTTGAATGAAACTTCCAAGTTTTGGAGCTCCGTCTGGTGGTGAAATAAGGTGCCGTTGACTCTCACTTTCCTTACCATCTATCTCTACTCAGTGTACTCACTACTATGCAGTGTGACGGATTGAGAACGCAATCCAGCAGAGCATCACCATGTTCCCATAAACACAAAGGGATGACAAAGCAGATTTGGAGAGGGATCTTCTAGAAGGAGATGCTTATATCACTCCCTCTAGCAGGCCCTGCCTGGCTTTCCTTAGAAAAAGAAGAAGAAAAAGAAAAAGATTTGGAGAAGGATTCACACCACATCAAACAGAGATATGCCCGGTGGACACTGGGCCTGGTTCCCAGCATGTGTCACTCCCCACGAATAAGACCGTGTGTCGCTCGGACTCGCTCCCCATGAATAAAGACTGGAGCCACCACAAAAACGGACCTCCCATCAGACATGGGTTATTTTCCCTGCCTGACGGTAGGACGTGGTAGCTGGTGTTAAAAAAAAAAGGAAAAATAAAAGGTCCACCAACCAAGAAGAATTGGGTAGAATCAATCCAAAGTCCCCCTGTTGCATACTGTAAAGGTGCAGACCAGAACAAGAACCGACCTCTTTCACAAAGTACAAGATAGCGCAGCGGAAAACTTAGACACCAATGATCCGAACAATCAATATTGCAATGCAGCCCCGAACATACATCATCATCATCACTCCATGGTGTGAAGGGGTCTGGCGCTCACACAGGAAGAATGCGCCAGCCCCAACCATACACAGACGAAGAAGAGGGGGGTTAGACGAAGAAGAGGGGAGTATGGGAATGTCGTCAACACCAAGTCTTCGGCACAGGCCCAAATAGTCCCTCGTCAAAATGTCTGAATCCCAATGTCGAGTCTGGATCCAATGTCGTCAAGTCTCAAGTCACAACTCTCTCTCTCTGTCGTAGTCCACTGACACTGAGAAGTCAGGTGGTGAGAGGTTGAAGAAGAGATGGTGGACTTAGAAGAGGAAGAAGAAGAACTCTCTCTAGAAGAGGAAGAAGAAGAACTCTCTCTCTCTCTCAGTCCGGTACTAACCTGTGAAGCTGGCGCCCTGATGCAGGTACCTCGAAGATGGAGCTGGAGCTATGGCGCCACAGGTAAGTCTCGTTGGCCTCCGCCAGCCATCTCTCTCCAACACTACTATTACCACCTACTAGCGCCCAGCGCTGAAGACTACTGCTAGCGCTAAGCTACTCCTGCAGCGCTCCTCCTGAGTGCTGCGGCCGAAACCTGAAGACTACTCCTGCCTTCTGTCCAACTACCTACCCGTGAAGTGCATGGGAACTCCCTATGTACTACTCGGCCTGCCTCCTGACTGCAGGGCGAGGCAGTCCAGGAGGCTGCTCTTGCCAATGCCGAAGGGAGTCAGGGGCTGCTGCTGCAGCTCCTGCTGAGGCTGTCGTGGGAACAGGCCAAAATTAGCCTGTTCCCGAAACCCTGGTTTTGTGCCTGAGTGTTCGGGCAGGTCGATCTTATGAGGGCCCGAAAGTGGCCCTCCGTTTCGGGCTGAAAAGCCTCAGGGCTGAAAAGCCCTGTTTTAGGCTGAAACGACATAGGGCCTGCAGGCCCTCGTTTTCAGTCTTTCAGGCTGAAACGACACGGGGCCTGTAAGCCCTTATTTCTAGGCTTTTAGGCTGAGAATGCGGGACGGGCCCTGCAGGCCCGTGTGGCTACGCAGTATGCCACACCCCCACCACTCTCCAGCTCAATCAGGACCGCAAAAAAAGACAGAGTCATCAGAACATAGCTTCATCAAGTCTTCCTCATGTCTTCCTCCTCCCTCCCACTCAACCTCCATAGCTGGCTATGGCACACAACCCAATTTCACAACGCCCAGCCTAACTACCTGCAGGCCACCAGCCCCTCCTCAAAATCGAAATGACCCCGGGAGTACCAGCGCTATGCAAATCAATTATAAATCAATCTCTCCCTCCAGGCATCAAACGTGCAACCTTACCACAAGGAAAATGAAGTTGGCATCAAATTGAAGCTTGCAGATGCGAATTTCAGTCCCACCCAGTATGTTCAGTACATTACATACAGCCATGACCCGGTGTACCCAGTCACATTGACCAAATAGACTGAGTACGGACGCCGCCCAGCCGGGCGGGGCCGGGTGGGTCGCCCGGGCAAACCGGGCGGGCAAAAAAAACAGCCCAGAATTTTTTATTTTTTTATTTTTTTTTGAAGGCGGGGTCCTCCTGTGCTCGGCGAGAGGACCCCGAATCTGCAATAAAATTCTGGTTTGGGGGGGAGGGCGGGTTCTGGGTGTTGGGGACTCTGCATGTATGTTGCCTGCTGTTTGCTGCATGTGTGAAACCAAGTACATACTGGGTTGGGGGCTCCGCATGTGGATATGGGAGGGAGGGAGGGATGGCGAGATGGCGAGGGAGAGAGGGAGTATCGCGAGATGTGGAGATGGGACGGACTATGGCAAAATGGGAGGGAGGGAGGGATGGCGAGATGGCGACCTACCAAACGATGGACAAATGGCGGCGGCGGCAGGGCGGTATGATGTGATGGCGGGGTATGGCGGCGGGCTGTGGTGGCGGCCCTACAAGAAGAAGAAGAAGATGGCGGTGGCGGTTGGGCGGTATGGTGGCGGGGTATGGCGGCGGGCTGTGGCGACGGTCCTACAAGAAGAAGAAGAAGAAGAAGAAGAAGAAGAAGAAGAAGAAGAAGAAGAAGATGATGATGAGAGGGGAGGGAGGAGGAGGAGGAGACAAGAGGCGGAAGAATGATCGGCGAAGAGGAAGAAGAAGAAGAAGAGGATGCAGTTTAGAAGAAGAAGAAGATGGTGGTGGCGGCAAGGCAGTATGGTGGCGAAGAAGAAGATGGCGGTGGCGGCAGGGTGGCATCGTATGGTGGCGGGGTATGGTGGCGGGCTGTGGCGGCGGTCCTACAACAAGAAGAAGAAGAAGAAGAAGAAGAAGAAGAAGATGGCGGCGGCGGCAGGGCGGTATGGTATTGTGGCGGGGTATGGCGGCGGGCTGTGGCGGTTGGTCCTACAAGAAGAAGAAGAAGAAGAAGAAGAAGAAGAAGAAGATGATGATGAGAGGGGAGGCAGGAGGAGGAGGAGACAAGAGGCAGAGGAATGATCGGCGAAGAAGAAGAAGAAGAAGAAGAAGAAGAGAGGGGAGGCAGGAGGAGGAGGAGACAAGAGG